ACACACACACACACACACACACACACGTACACATGGGGGTAATGGGTTTCTTTCCACTCCCACAAGTCCTTCAGGGTCCTGCAATCTTTCACTGCATTACAGCCATATACATGAACCCAGTGAACTTAACATACAGATGATATATTTAACCAAAGTCCCTTTAAGGTTTTCTATATAGTCTTTGATTTAACCCACAGACCACAGTCTGGTTTGACCCAGGTGTGTACATATGCATATAGCTAGTCAAGCTAAGTCTAAACCTTAACCCTAAAATACTCTAAAAATAGATATTAATTCTGTTAGTTCTTATATAAACCATTTTTACATTGATATATTTATCAGATCTTGATTTTTTTTTTCTGTATATATAACATTAAGAAATTATTCTATTCCGAAGCGTTAAGTCTGTATTTTAAATATGTATAAATCTCACTATGATGACTTTTTAATTTTCATTTGTAAAGCTGGTTGTGAAGTAAACAAACAAGCTGACCAATTAGGATCATCCTCTCAGTGTCACTCACGTGACCAGGGCATGTATCTGTCCACCCTATCTTCAGACTGTGATCACTAGAAGTTCACTGGCTGCCATGGTCATGTGACCAAATATTTCATTGCTTACAGGGTGGCCTGCACACATAGTGACAGAAATAGCCGTGTTGTGACATAGATGTGTCTTGGCTGTGTGTCTACGCTCCCTGGGAAATGCCTAAATAAGATATTTGATGAGAATTTTGATATTGTTACATGTATTGGATCAAAAAACTGAACCCTATATAATGTTTTATTGTATATTCAAAAATATTTTTAATTTATGTTGCTTTTGGCCGATACGTGAGTCATCTTGAACTTATAGCGGTATAAATAGCATAACACAAAAATGAGTTTTCAGTAACTCATGACATAAACGCACTTTTCACAGTCAGTCATGATTCATTTACTTCACATGCTCAAGTGTCCAATAACGGCAGGTTGGCAAGGTAAAGTAAGTAGTATTTGGCTGGTCATGTGATATCCACGTGGTGGCTCCCATAAGGCTCCATTAAAACAAAACAGCTTTATTTACACTTTCTTTTTCTTTTCTTTTTTTTTTTGAGTGTATGGCATTTCTCAAAAGTACC